ACTTAACAGATTCCTGTTTTGTTATTATATTTTATAAATATGCCCAAGTTTAATAATGTGTGAGAAATCCACAATTTTCTGTTTATTCAGTCAGTGTTTAACACAGCTGCTCAATAAATTAAAAAAATTATAATACTGTACTTTTTCTATTTAGTGTAAAAAATTAGCTTCATGTCACAGAAAGACCCTTGATTCAAGAGAAATGTCTGGTTTTTGGGAAAATGGCCGCTTATCAATAAATCGTTAGTCAATCGATAAGATCAATCAACTTTAGATTAATCAATTAATTGATAACTTGCATCCCTACTCAGAAACTCAACWAATGAGTGAATTCTCAGATACCGTGTTTGATACTGGATTCCATTGTTTGGTAAATAAGTGAGGTACTGACTGTGGTCGCACTGTGGTCCACCCAGAGGGGCTTCTTCATGTAGGAGCCCATCARGATCTTCCCGTGACAGATGGAGGAACTGTTCAGGTCTGCCTGGATCCCCAGGGCTCGATCCTTGTAGAAGTACCACTGAAAATGTTCTGGAGTGATTACAGCATCATCTGCAAGAAACGTAGCGGTTGTTTAAATACTGGTTAGTTCATTAAATTAACTARATTAGCACAAAAGGCTCTGTTTAKATTACCATCAGCAGTGGAGGACCACAGACTCTGAAACCACTTGGTAAGATCAGCCTTGTCCTTCGAATTTAAGGTCATTGGTTTGAGAGGAGGAGCACAAAGATCGGATGCAGACAGCGCAACCTGGGCTTTGGATTTCGGCAAATCTTGAACACAGAAGAGAGACAATTAGATTAAAAAAATTWAAAAATAAAAAAAACAACAACCAGGAGAGGCAATATGTCCCGTCAGCAAACGTTCCTATTACAGCAGAGTGAGCTTAATGGAACATCTGTTGTATCTGCAGTGATCTCAGCAGCATYACGAGTCTAAAAAGGCCCAAATCTTACATTTTTAATCCTCCCACAGGAGCTGGAAGGACTTGAGAGGAAAACTTGAGAGGCACACRTTTTGAGTCACCATCAAATATGGTTCAGTCATTTAATTTATTTAAGAGAGAGAAACCAGAGGAGCCTTTCCCTCTGAGCCTACAGYGAACAGTTTCTGCTCAACAGCACTTTACTGAATTTAAGTTTGTAAACATGTTTATTTATCCTATTAGACTTCATATTTCTTAGTGTAGATTTGTTAAAAATAAACAGAATTTATATTTCATTCAGTGTCTGGATAAACTAGACCTTTTATTTGGTTAAACCTCTGAACATTTATTAATCCAATCAAGGATTGATTTTACAAAACCAGTTTATACAAGGTTTTACGACAGGAAAAAAAAGAAAACTATATTTACTTATTACTCGACTTAGACATTTAAGTTCATAATTAGTTTTTTAGGAGAAGAACAATATATTTTTTAATAAAGAAGTTCAGGAAAGATGCAGATAAATGAGACCACATATATCTTCAAAGGGACTTTCCATTGACTTCCATTCATTCATTTTTATAACTCAGTGGTTTTCAAACATTTTAGCCTCCAGTCCACAAAATAACAGTTACAGAAACTTGTGATCCCAGATATTACTGGTTCATAAATGAAAATTTATAATATCTCTGTTAAACATGGGCATAAAAACAATATATGCAAAGATAATAACTATTATACGACTTTGATACATTTATGATTGTTGTATTTTTTTTTATTATGGTGGAAATATTTCAATTTATTTTAATTTGAATTGGTGTCTGGAAATCTTCTAGGGACCATCACTTGAAGTTTAATGACCCTCAGAGTGGTCCCGACCTCAACTTTAGAAACCCACTGCTATAGCTTAACCTTGACCCTTACCCCAACCTCAATTCATACTTTAGTCCTAAACCTAAACCCACAAGGCTGTGTGTTGGGAAAATGGTCCCCACAAGGTAGCAAATACATGTACAACCTTGTATTTCTATTCTTATTAGGACCGTTCAATCATTTCTGAAGCCTAAGCCAAACTCACTTCCTGCTGTAAAGAAACCTTTGCAATGAGAACCTGAATCAGGCGCAGGAAACCAGCTGTCAGCCTTGAAGGTTTATTTGCAGACACAAAGTTTATAACATCACAACGCTGTGGTCCATCCTGACTAGGGACGCAAACAATTAATCGACTTATGATTAATTATTGATTAATGGTTTATTAGATTAAAATTTCTTCCATTCGATTAATTGAAAACATCCGTTTAAACCTTATTTCAGTGTAGTTTTGACTTCACCCAGTAGATGGCGCCGCTGCTCTCAGCAGCGTTTATGTTTATTATGTTCATAATTAGTAAATCTTTAGATTAAATTGTTACCTTGTGTTTAAATGTTAGTTTTAAATTTCTCTGTTCAGGGTGGATTAAGTGTTTTACTTTTTTTCCTTTCCTTTTTTTTCCAACTAGCAACAT